TAGATAATATTGTTCCAGATGATATAAAATGAAAGAGGGCTAGCATAGAAATAAAAATTTAAAAATGGAAGATAAGATGTATAGTTAATCAATGAGGATTAATAAACGCATAACAAAGGGCAAAATAGAACATTTCATAAACGCATCCATGCTCCATGCCTGGGGCGTTCAAGTGTCCAAAAATTTCCCCTTCTACAATCTCCCCACCCTCATATTCTAAGTAAATAAACACATAATAATAATTGATGAAATATTATCTTGACATAATGCAAATAATAATAGGAATGCCTCAGGGCCGGGGGCTTAGCTTTGTCGTCTGACGGGATGCGGCGGTGTGAGGGAATTAGTTGTGCGTGTGGGCTAATTCTGCGGCTACCTCTGGGGGCGGGGGTCCTGTATGTGGGCTTAGAATTAGTTCGGCAAAGGTGCGATCATTTTAAAGAAATATGAATGCAATGCCAGATAGATAGATAAACAAAAGTAAGGAGAGAGTGAGACATGGATTTTTATAGTGGTTCGGCTATTAATTAAGCCTACTCCACTCTTTTTCCACAACTTGTGGAAGAGTTTTCACTATCACTCCTAGTACAAACTAAACAAGCTAGCTTCCTTGATCACTAAGCCGGACAGCTACTTGTGTAGGTTTTTCAACTCCTTGAGTTTACTCTGCCTCTATCAACGTCTTCTTCAGAGTTGAGGGTTGGAAAGAATTGATGATGTTCTCCAACTCGTGAAATCTTAACTTGATGATGCTTGAATCTTCGAGTATAAATTGGAAGATTTCCTTGTGTTGTGAAGGCTTGAAGTCTAGATAATTTCTTACAAAGAAACTTCAAAAACACACACTGGTTTTGAAAGCTTTTTAGATGACACTTGTTTACAAAGCCTTTGTAGATGAAAATTGAGTGAAAAAAAAACCAACACCTTCTTCAGTGGTGAAGAGATGTATTTATAGGTGAGGAAAAAATTCATTCGTTGGAGGGAGATGAAAATTCAAACCTATTAACAGTGTGTAATATCCACTGGGCATGAAGCATTTAATTCGGCTGTACTGTGTAGCTGTTGGCGGCAAAAGTGATTTGTCCATTTGTCCTTTTTCACTGACAAAGGTACTAATCATTTAATGCTTCTTGGTTTGTGTGAATATCATTCCTAGGACTCCTTTTGTCTAGGATGATTACCCAGGTGTGAGACGTAGATAAACATTCTTCTTGTTCACGTGTAGAAATTGTCTATTCAAGTCTGACTTAGACTTTTTGTCTCAAAATCTATTAAACGAAAGATTGTCCTTACCTTTCATTTTTCCTTCTAGTCAAATGATCTTTCTTATCATTTGACGTTTACACGAGAGTTAGACCCTTCCATTGTTTCGATCTAAGTTGTTCTCTCGGCCTTCTCTTGATCTTTTCTTCTTCAAGTAGACCTAATTGATTAAAATACAACTCTGATTCGTGTAAATGTGTTAGTAAGCACGAATCACATGGTGAGTTGTGACTACTTTCGTCTAACACGAAAGATGCAAAATAACGAGAGTAAAAGATGGGTCTACAGTCATAGTAAGTTTGGTATCATCAAAATCTAAATACATATGTTCCTAACACCATCAATTCAGGTTTATATTAGGCACAGAGTCTGGTTGACTAACAACTTCTACTTGTTTAGTCTTGTTAGACTATGTTTATTAATTATATTTATTCTATTGTATATTGTAGCATAGAATAATTGTTCTAGTCTTAAGCCTATTATTTAGGTCTCTCTCTAAGAGAGTATATTTGTATTCAGATTCTGTTATTGAATTAATCTATCGCTTCCACTCTCATCTGGTATCAGTTAGCCAGAAAATATCCCCCTCTCACCTTTCTCTCTCTCCTAGCGTCGATCATGTCGAACGACAGTTCTGAGCGCACCCTCACGGCCACCACTGTTTCTTCCGGCAACTCTGGTCCCAACACCCTCACAAGCGCACACCATTTTGTGTCGCTAAAATTGACGCACCGTAACTATCTGTACTGGAGGACACAGGTGATTCCGTTTCTCCGCGGCCAAGGCCTCCTTGGCTTTGTTGATGGTACACGGCCATGCCCCTCATCACACCTGGAGATTCCGATCGGCAGTGGTCCTGATGATGCCGCCTCATCCACGGAGAACCCGGCGTACGGTGTATGGGTGCAGCAAGACGCTTCGATCCTGTCCCTATTGATTTCCTCCCTCTCGGAGGAAGTCATGTATCTCGCACTTGGCCGGACAACCTCGCGCGGCGTGTGGCTGGCGGCGGAAACGGCTCTCGGGTCGTCGACGGAGGTCCGAAGCTTGAATCTGCTCGGGCAGATTCAGACGTTACGGCAGGGTGACAGTTCCACGGAGGAGTATTTGGGCCGTGCGCAACATCTGGTCGAGGATCTTGCGCTTGCCGGCCGAACCCTGACGCCAACTGAACAGAACCTGTACGTCTTCCGGGGGTTACGACCAGAGTTCCGGGCAGTCGCATCCTCACTGGCGATCGCGGGCAGATCCGTCTCCATCCCTCAGCTTGCGGATTACCTCCAGGCACAACAATTTATACACGCCGACGATTATCCCACTTACCCACCGGCGACGCAAGGCAGTGTTCCAGCAGCGATGTACGCCGGTCGAGGCAGACGACAGAACGGAGACGGTGGTGGCAGGCACTCCCGCGGTGGTGGTGGACGCGGAGGCAACCAACGCGGCGGTCGCGGCGGACGTGGCCAGAACGGCAGGTTGCGCTGTCAGATTTGCCGCTCTCAAGGCCATTCGGCCGCTTTTTGTTACCGTCGGTACGCTGAGCCGCCGCCGTCGCAGGCTCACATTGCCGTTGCAGGAGACGGGGCAGCGCCACCATCGGCGGTCACCACGTGGCTGCCGGACACCGGAGCCTCAACCCACGCCACCCCCGATTCCGGTGTGATTATCAATTCCGAGGATTACCACGGATATGACGTCTTACGAGTAGGCAACGGCACAGTTTGGTGATCTTGAGTGTGGGTCATGCAGTAATTCCTACGGTCAAAAAGTCGTTAAAAATGTCTAATTTGTTACATGTTCCTGAGTTGTCAGTGTCTTTGATGTCTGTTAACCGGTTACCCGGGACAATAATTGCTATTTTGAATTTCACCCCTCTTACTTTGTTGTGAAGGACTCAATCACTCAGGCGGTGCTTCTTAAAGGTCCGAGTTCGGGAGGACTCTATTCGTTGTCTCTACCAAATAATCACTTCGCGTTCGTCTCGGCTCGTGCCTCTTCCACGGTCTGGCACCAGCGTCTCGGTCACCCACACAGCCAAGCCTTGCTTCGTGTTTTACAAGATTGTCCAGTCGAGTCAAATAAAAATGTAACACCCAAATTATGTACCCCGTGCCAACTTGGAAAATCGGCACGTTTTCCATTAGATAGGGTAGTTACATCTAGTGCAAATGTACTCGACCTTGTTTTTACCGATATATGGGGTCCCGCACCGGTTCTTTCAGCGGACGGGTCCCGCTACTTTGTATTATTCGTAGACGACTGTACTCGCTATTGTTGGTACTATCCTCTACGTCTAAAAACAGATATATATAAAATCTTTGATCTTTGGCGAGCGATGGTAGAACGTACGTTTTCACGTTCTATCAAGTCCGTTCAGTCTGATTTTGGGGGGGGGGGGGGGGGGGGGGGAATACCAAAAGCTACATAAAACATTCATGTCGTTAGGAATAGTACACCGGCAGTCATGTGCTTACACACACGAGCAAAATGGCCGTGTGGAGCGTCGAAATCGCCATATAGTCGAAACTGCCTTGGTGTTAATGGCCCAAGCGTCTGTCCCACAGCGCTATTGGGATCATGCCTTTGAAACGGTAACTTATCTTATAAATCGGTTACCGTCAGCCTCACTAAAGTTTGATACACCCTTTTTTCGCCTATATAAGACTCCGCCCACGTACACTTACTTACGTGTGTTTGGATGTCTATGTTATCCATACTTACGCCCGTATAACCTTCACAAAATCGAGTATCGGTCGAGTCCATGTGTATTCTTAGGTTACACGTCGTCCTTTAGGGGTTACCGCTGCATGTGCCTTAACACCGGGAAAACCTATATCTGTCGTCATGTCCGCTTTGACGAGACTAATTTTCCATTTGAAACAGGTCCTTTGAAATGGAATGATACAACGCCTGAAGTGCATGCCTCTCCGTGGGGGTCAAGCCCTGTTTTATTGACGCATGACAGTTGTGCTGTCCCGGCTCCATCACCTCCTGTTCCTCCTCGGGCACCTGTTCGTGCACCCCGGAAACGGAGACAACGGGCTCAACCAGGTGAACGGGATCACGTTATGCGGCTTCGGCGTATGACACGGGGCACTGGAGAGCCGTTTCACGCTCTCACTGCCACTATGGCCGATCCGACCTGTTACTCACAGGCTGTTGGGCATCCACAATGGCGGGATGCCATGGATCAAGAGTTCAACGCCTTGCTTCACAATAACACTTGGCAGCTAGTTCCGGCCACACCGAATATGAATATTGTGGGCTGCAAGTGGGTCTTTCGCACTAAGTGTAAGGCCGATGGAACGGTAGAACGCTACAAGGCCAGGTTAGTAGCCAATGGCTTTAACCAGGTCGCTGGCGAGGATTTCTTCGAGACATTTAGTCCGGTGGTTAAGCCGACCACAGTACGGTTATTGCTCTCGTTTGCCGTGTCCCGTGGCTGGACCCTACGTCAGTTGGATGTCCATAACGCGTTTTTAAATGGTCATCTATCCGAGACTGTCTACATGAGGCAGCCTCCAGGCTACGAAGATCTGGATCATCCTAATTATGTGTGCCACTTACAGCGCTCACTCTATGGGTTGAAGTAGGCTCCACGGGCCTGGTTCAATCGTTTGCATGACTTTTTGCTTGTGACAGGTTTTATTGCCTCCAAAACAGATGTGTCCCTTTTTCACTACTCTACAGGGGATTCCCGAGTGTTCCTACTCGTCTACGTTGACGACATTATCATGATGGGTGATAACACTACCTTGATTGATTCTCTCTTGCACCGGCTGTCCACGGCGTTCAAAATCCGGGACTTGGGAAAGTCGGCCTTCTTCCTTGGCATAGAGACAGTTACCACCCCAGATGGCATGATTCTTACTCAGCGACGATACATGCGGGACATTCTTCAACGAGCAGGCATGTCCGAGTGCAAGTCACTAGCCACTCCAGCAGCTGTGACACAGCCTGTTAGTCAATCTACTGATCCGTTTCACAACCCGACTCATTACCGTCGTCTCACCGGGGCCCTGCAGTATCTCACCATCACTCGGCCAGACTTGTCCTATGCGGTCAATCGTTTGTGCCAGTTTATGCATACTCCTACGGAAGATCATTGGGGGCTGCTTAAGCGTGTGCTCCGCTATATTAAGGGCACCCTCGACTACGGTCTCCGTGTTTCACCTTCTGTGTCGTCTGATATTCATGCTTACTCGGATTCGGAATGGGCCGGATGCCCAGTAGATCGGAAGTCTACAAGCGGATACGCTGTGTTTTTGGGGACTAATCTGGTCTCGTGGGTCTCGCGGAAACAGCGGACTGTGGCTCGCTCATCCACCGATGTTGAATACAAGGGGTTAGCCGATGTCTGTGCTGAGGTCACCTGGATCGTGTCCTTGTTACGGGAGCTTCGTCTGTGTTCTTCCACGCCACCAGCACTGTGGTGTGATAATCTTGGAGCCACGTACCTCTGCGCAAACCCTGTGTTCCATGCTCGCACCAAGCATGTTGAAGTGGATTACCACTTTGTTCGGGATAAAGTTTCTTCCGGAGAGTTCCAGGTTCACTTTGTCTCGACTAAAGATCAGCTTGCGGACATCTTCACTAAACCGCTTCCAGCAGCACGGTTTGGTACTTTACGTAGCAAGCTCAATGTCGTCTGTCACCAACCTTGCGCTTGAGGGGGAGTGTTAGACTATGTTTATTAATTATATTTATTTTATTGTATATTGTAGCATAGAATAATTGTTCTAGTCTTAAGCCTATTATTTAGGTCTCTCTCTAAGAGAGTATATTTGTATTCAGATTCTGTTATTGAATTAATCTATCGCTTCCACTCTCATAGTCTAACCAAACCACTTAATAAGCCTAGTCAACTTGCACACTTAATTAAGTCCCCAATATAATATATATATATATATATAATATATTATTAGGGAAAATCTTACCTTCTCCCACTTGGTGCAAGTACTAGCACAACCATCGTCAAAGAACAAAACACACAAATCATAGTGACATGTCCTCTATTTAATCAGAGTAGTATCCATTATGGTCACATGCATCTTAATTCTCCAACTTAGGTCCTTTATGAACAAAACCTATGTTTATTCTTGATACCTTAAGGGATGTTTCTCAAAATACATTATGTGCACAACTGAAAGAGAAACACATCCAAATTATACAAAAGAGTATACTGAAGTAGATGCCGTATCTCTTTTTCTTGCATATAATTGCTGCATTTCCAGTAGTGTGGGATCACTTTCCGTGGAGTTTGACATTTCTGCAATAAAAGTATATAATTAGAGCACTTCAGATGTAAATTCATAATATACAGAATTTTATAGTAGAATACACATAAAGTATAAATATGATACACATAAATATAGGTATAAGTAACATATAACCCTAGATTAACCAATCAGGCACTGAATGAATGCATAGAGTTAAAAGGCATAATGTACAGAATTTAATGACAGATTAGACATAATATATACTCAGAATACACATAATCATAAGCATACTGAAAATATTATAACAGATGATCTTATATCAAAATATATTTAAATTATCAACATAATACACAGAATGTTATACAAGCATACACATAATCTCAACTCAAAAAACACATAATCCTAGAAATAAGGAACATATAGTATGTTTGATGAGGTGAATAGCAACTAGAAGTCATATGCACATAATCTTATACTAGAATACACATAATGTCTACTCAGAAAACACATAATCCAAGAAATAAGGAACATATAGTATGTTTGATGAGGTGTATAGAAGAATACACATAATATATACTCAGAATAGATATAATTTCTACCCAAAAATACACAAAACTCATAACATTGTATACATAATTTAGTAATATCATTCAGTTACAGAGTTTCATGTTAGTACTGTTATGTAACCCTAGCTTAACGGAAAATTCTTGTTAATGATGGATTTTCATATAAATGTTCATAGATTTCATGATATATGCGCTAAAATTATGTGTTATGTTACAAATTTCACAATATTTTGATCTTCAAACAAAAAAATGTTTGAAGTTTCATGCAATTGTGTTGCGTAGTGTGATGAACGATGAAAATATGAGAGTTATTACTTGTTTTGTGCTTTGCTTTCGAACTTTTTCGCTCTTCTGGCAAGAGATTTTTGTTGTGCTGTCTTCAGTCTTTTGGATGATCGAAATGGTTTGTCTTGGGGAAGAAGAAGAGACAACGTTTTTTTATATTTTAATTAAAAAAAATAGAAATTGTAACGGTGATTGGACTGACGGAGCGACATCCGTCACATCCAATCTCCGTTATCAGTAATGGAAACGGCGTTGTTTAGTTCCAGGACGCACATTGCTATGTGCGCGTTGGTGCACGGTATAACGATTGCCCTGACCCCTGGCTGGCTCACAAACTTTTTTAAAATTTATGATTATCGCCTCAAAAATTATTTATTTATTTATTTATTTGTGATTAAGAATATATGATTGAGCATTTTTCTTCCGAACTCAATCCATCCATCCATTTTTCTGCGATTTCCACCTGTATAGTACAATATTGCTAGTAATATAACTCATATATAGGAAGAGTTGTTTTTTTTTTTTTTTTTTTTTTTTTTTTTTTTTTTTTTAGCTAGGAAAATCCACTGCTACTATGTTAGGGTGTGCACCGGATAAATCCTGATTCCGCCTTGACTAGATCAAACTAATTAGAAAGCTGAGATTCGAATTCGTGACATTGCAGTTACTAGTTTGTATCCCTAGTTTTTTGCAATTTTAGTCCATTTTTGCCAAAAAAAAAAATAATAATAAAATTAAAACAATAGCCGTGGACTAAAGCTGTACTGCAAAAAAACTCTTTGTATCCTTATGTATCACTTATATGCAATTAATTTATTATGTGACTGCAGTTAATAATATAAATTATGTATCAATTACAATTAACGTATTATATATACTTTTCTTTAATAAATTATGCACATATTACAAATAACATATTGTTTACCTTCAGTTTATTAATAGGTACTTAATTTTTTAATTGAAGATATATAATTTGTTAGGTGCAGGTACATAATTTTAAAGTCATTTTGAACTAAGACCCAGTGTGTAAGGTAAATGTTGGTTCATATAATATAGTATATACAAACCTACTTGATTTATATGGGTTAGCTCGTGACAGATCAATAAAAAGCAAGCATAGTCGGCTAGACTAACGTCATCCTTGTATGAACGTCCATTACGAACCATTCGCGCTTCATGGCGCTCAAACATGAATAGGCCAACGGTCAAGGCCAGGGACATCATAGGGCTCCTAATTTATGGGAGTCAAATTTTTCATTAAAAAAAATATTTATATATATATGATTCATTATTTTCCTTGAACAAAATGCTGCAAAATTTAAGTAACATTAAGCATTCAAGATTTCCGCGTAGAATGTGACAGGAGTATTGACTATTTAGTCCTCTCATCGACGACTTATATTCTACGGAAGTCTTTATCCACAATTCTCTTGCAATTTGTTCATGCAACCTGTTGTTATTAATACGTCTGCTTGGCTGAGTTGGCTCTACAAATAGAAATGAATATGTAATTTGGAATCTTTACTAAATTATTTATTGCATTTAGTTTGTTGTTTTTCCTTTTAGTTCTTTTATTGCATAATATTTTATAATAAAATTTTGTTTAAATAATGAAATATCAACTGAAATTGAATTGACTTTATTCATTTAACAACACAATAATAGTCTAAAATATGAATTACATTCAAGATTAATGGCATTTAAAAAAAAAATAATATTCTAATTCATTTTCTCTATCATACCTATTACAAGTTCGAACTCAAATCTCATTACTACTATTGGCCATGGCATCAGTTAATTCGCCTAAAAAAAGTAATTAGGGTGTTTAATTAATGGTAATTAATTAATTTTTAATTACTATTTCAATTAGGGAATGTTAGAATGCTTAAACAAGTGTATATATTATGAAGGAGGGGAAAACTGCAATGGTTGACAACCAATTTAACCAAAACCTTATAGAACGTAACGACTGGTAGTTTATTCATCAGCTAATTAGCTCCATTAACCGATAGATATTGTTGAGTACAATAGATGGATTAAAATGTAGAGACCATACAACATACAAATATAATAAAAATTGAGAAATAGGAACATTATATTTTGCACAATTTGCTTGCTTCCAATATGGTTTCATGCAGAAGAAGAAGAAGAACCTATGCAAGTACGAGGATAATTCATCAGAGGAGATGACGATAACAGAGCGACACTGCAATTATGACCGCTAACCAGCCCCCAAAAGCTCTTTGATTCCCATCTGTACATTGCCGTGGTATATATTAGTCATCTATATATATAATCAAAGTTCACATAAAAACACCGAGATTAGTAGACAAATCTAATATGTCGAGTTATACCAAGGATTGAAAATCAATGAAAAAGAAAAAAAAAATCACTTTTCTCTAATTTTATGTAATTATGACATATTGTGTATTTAAAAATGTTTGACCGAGCACGCAAAGCACTACTTGATTCTCATTACCTCCCTTCTCTGTGTCTATCAAAAGAATTTCTAAATGCACTTTCACAAATGTGCAGTCAAGCATTTTCAAATGCACAACTTTAATGTCATCGTATTTTTCCATGTTTTATTTATTTCTAGCCCCTTTCAATATCCTAGATGGACGAATCATATTTCTCCACTCTGGAGTTGTTCTCATCGTTCAGGTGAGACCAACACTTCTTGAGAACATCTGAACATGTGAACTTTTTCAGTAATGCACGATAAGTTCCTCACGAATGCACAATAAAACCACTACAAGAATGCACAAAAACTACTACACGAATGTACAGAAAGTAGGAAAGTGTGTGATTGTTATTATATAGTTACCGCAGGCTCCAGATGATTCAGGCGGCGGCGGAGGCGGAGGTTCGGCCATAGCTTCAGTGGTCGTCTCAACAACATTGTTTATGGCGTCCACAGTGTTCGGACTGACATTATTAAAGGATGGATTCGGCATTTGGGTGGTCGGATTTCCACCATTATTGTTGGAATTGCCGCCGGAGCTTTTCGGTGACGACTTCTTCGGCGGTCTGGAATAGGGATTATTAGTGGTCATATATTCCTGGGACTTTGAACTCGGCCGTTCTCTGATAACATCATTCTTAATTCTGTACTTTTCGTCGTCGATGGTTTCGGCATCTGTGCTGTAAGGACGTTGTTTCGGCATAGGATAACCAAGCTTGTTGACATGATTATTATGGGCAGTGGCTTGAGATACCCAAGCTCCCAGCAACAGGAAAAGGGCTGCAACAACAACCATTCTGAAAAGGGCCATTATATTGGAGATATAATATAGTATTTGATAAGAATAATGCATATATGCTCTCAATGTGTTACCTATTTATACCAAAAAAAGTAACATCTATCGATTAAGGTTGGCGAGTAGATCAGAATGCGACATATTAAAGAGGCAATTATCAGCATTAGCTTGCAGCTTTAACTGTAATGGCAACTTGTCCAAATTAGGTGCACAATAAATAAGTAATGTCCTATTTTCATCTACCTCACGATGGGCTACCATTTTTGTGGTTTTTTTACTAGTTAGACCGTTAAATCAGTGTGGCATGCAAATTTCTCTAATCTTAATTCACTTTATATCGATTGGTGTTAAGTAAAAGAGTATAAAATTTTTTATTTTTTTTTTTAAAAGATTAAAATATTATATGGTTTACAAATGTCATGGTGCTTTTAAATGTATCCTGCAAATATGCGTACACAGTTCAGGCATGACAAATTGACAATGAATTACGACATCTCTTCATCTTTGCCCTTTCGAAATAAAATACTCATCACCATAAAAATTTACAGATTTACTCTATTGTAATTTGTAATTATTGAATACAATTTTGTTGCATAGAGGCTTGGAGTTTTGCTTTAACGCAATAAATGGATCCTTTATAATGCAGGTTTATAATGAAGTAATATTTATATTAATTGAAGATGTTAGCACGGACAGCTTAGTGGGTTTGTGGGTGTTGAATTGTCGATAATGACACATGATCGAGCTTTAACCGTCATAATGTAAAAGTTTCACTCAATGTGGTCGGTTACATGTTCCGATTCTCCTATTTCATGAGCGGTTGAGTCCCTGTGATTTACTCTTCTAATATTCATGCGGGCCGAGATATGAAGGCCTAGGGGTCGATTGAATTTCCTGTTTTGTGGGTAAGATTAATTGTAGAGAGGCTAGAATTTTGTTTATTGCGCACACAAGAGCCCTTCATTTGAGAGGTTACCCTTATTATATACAACCACTAATAAAGTTCTTCCTTGCTTTTATATCTTGTGACAAATTCCACCTTTGTGATTTGTTGAGGCGCTTGATGCCCTTGTTATTTACCCGAGTAGAAGGGATCGTAGTAACTACAAACATTAAAGAGTGCACTTTAAGGATGGCAAGTGGCAACTAAGATGCAGTTGCTTGACCCCATTGTTATTTTGCCCGAGTAGAAGTTTGAAGTGGTCAATGGTCGAAGACGTGTGAAGTAATTTTAGTTATTTATATTTTACAACTTATTAAGAATATATTTTGTTGTTTTCAAGTTATCTTGCTTAGTTTTAAACAATGTAGCAAAATATGTTAGTCGTCCCCTAAGCGTCAAGGGGACGCCTAGCGCCTAGGCACACCTAGGATGCCTAGGCGCCCGATTTTTTAATTTTAATTTTTTTAAAAAAATTAAACTAAAAATTATAAAAATTCATTAATAAAACATAAGGTTCCTCTAGTTTTTTCTTACAAACTATTTATATAAGTGATTGTAAAATTGTTCAAAATATTATTGAAACCATCTAAATATATAAAAATATTAAAGTTAAGAACAAAAGAAGCATTTTTTTTTTGAAATTGGTGGGGCAAACCGCCTACGAAATTTTAGAAAAAATATGCGATTTGAAATTTTATTTTATTTTATTTTTTATCTAAAATGGATAACCGATTCGAAAGTTATGCCTTGACAAAGTTTCTACACTTTACAACAAAAAAAAAAAAAAAAAAAACAAAAAAAAAAACGCCGATTCAGTCGGCTAGGTGGTCTAGCCGGCCGCCTAACCGCCCGGGCGCGGAGGAGGCCGACCTGACCTTCCTTGCCGCGACTGGGCGGCGCCTAGCACCTAGGCGCGATTTTTGCAACACTGATTTTGCATATAATTAGGTTTGTTGCATGATGAAAATACTTAATGATAGGATTTAGGTTTTTTTTGTTAATAAACGAACTGCCTATAGTAAAGTTATATATGGGGACCATTGATCCTCCCAAATGCTCTGTCGGGCCGGGGTGTGGAGGGCCCTTAGGGTTGGGGTTCAACCTTTTAATATATGGGGACCATTGGTCCAAATAGTCTTTTATCAAATCATTCACAATCTGATATGCAGTTTTGAAATATTTACTTTTATGAAAAATTTGATAATCTGGTATTAATTAATATGCGTCAGGATATATACCAGATGATAGTTTGATAAATTTAAAAATATTAATTTAAAAATACATATTGGCATTAGACTATTTACACAATGGGCATATGGTAACTGTAACAAAAGTGGAGTGCTACGTTCCACACATTGTTTACACCACGTCCTATTTTAAATGGTGATGTAAAGTGTAACGTAAAAATAGTTTATAAATTAATTGACTTTATTCTTTTGATTAATGAGAGAAATTTGTAATCATTACTCAATAGTGTATACTAGTTAAACCTTACTCCTAAAATAAGTAAATTGTATTAAGATGACCCTTGTATCACGAGCTTAACTAAGAATGTGCTTATAAGAATTAATTGATTTTACTATCCATCAATTTGATGAAATTACATCATTATTATTTAAAATATAATTTCATATGAAAGTTTTGGTCAATTAGTTTAATTCAAGCTAGCTTGTAGCGTAGAATGCGACCGAAGTATATATTCACTATTCATTCCTCTCATCGACGACTTATATTCTACTCAAGTCTTCGCCCATAATTCTCTTGCAACTTTTTGATATTAATACGGCTGCGTGGTTGAGTTGGCTCTATAAATATTATTGAAACTATCTAAATATATAAAAAATTGAAATAACGAGTAAAAGAAGCATTTTTTTTTTTAGAAATTAGTGGGGCAAACCGCTTACAAAATTTGAGAAAAAATACGCGATTTGAAAATTTTCTTTTATCCAAAACGGATAATCGAGTCGAAAGTGATGCCTTGACAAAGTTTCTACACTTTACAAAAAAAAAAAAAAAAAAAAAAAACACCGATTCAGCCAATCGCCTAATCGCCTGGCCGCGGAGGAGGCCGATTCCAGCCTTCCTCGCCGCGGCTGGGCGGCCCCTAACACCTAAGCGCGATTTTTGCAATACTGATTTTGCATATAATTAGGGTTTGTTACATGATGAGAATACTTAATGATAGGATATATATATATATATATATATATATATATATATATATATATATATATATATATATATATTAATTAATAAACGAACTGCCTATAGTAAAGTGATATATGGGGACCATTGGACCAAGAGTCTCTTATCAAATCATTCACAATCTGATATGCATATTGAAAAATTTGATAATCTAGCATTGATATGCATCAGGATATATGCCCGATGATTCTTTGATAAATTCAATTACATTAATTTAAAAATACATATTGGCATTAGACTATTTACGCAATGGGCATATGGTAACTGTAACAAAAGTGGAGTGCTACGTTGCACACATTGTTTACACCAAGTCTTACTTTAAATGGTGATGATGTAAATTGTAACGTAAAAATAATTTATAAATTAATAATTGACTTTATTCTTTTGATTAACAAAAGAAATTTGTAATCATTACTCGATAATGTGTACTAGTTAACCTTACTCTTAAGATAAGTAAATTGTATTAAAATGACCCTTGTATCACGAGCTTAACTAAAAATATGTTGATAAGAATTAATTAATTAATTGACTTTACTATCCTATCAATTTGATGAAATTACATCATTATTTAAAATATAATTTGATATGAAAGTTTTTGTCAATTAGTTTACATCAAGCTAGCTTGCATCGTAGAATGTGAGTTATGTGACAGAAGTATTCACTATTCATTCCTCTCATCGACGACTTATATTCTACTAAAGTCTTCGCCCATAATTCTCTTGCAATTGGTTCATGCAACTTGTTGATATTAATACGGCTGCGTGGCTGAGTTGGCTCTTTAAAGTAAGAGTTCTATGCATATTTTCACTTTTTTTTTTAATGCTACTGACTCTATTATAATGTAGTATCTGTTCATAACTACTTTCTCAACTTACTGAAACACAAAGGGCCAATAACGCCTCCATTAAGTCTCGAACTCACAACCTCTCATATGGAGTCCAACCCGAGTCCATGATAGGTTATTTTTATTATGGAGGTCCTTAGAAAATTGTTCCCATAAAAAAAATTTGAGAATGAGAGTAGAAATTGAGAGTAGGATTTGAGAGTTGACATAGTATTTTCCACAAAGTAATGTAACAAAATACTGGAGTACTACCTTAATTTTCAAAAGTTGAATCCTAGTAACTTGTATATCTGTCTAGTATCTAGTATACTAATTAATAAGAACTAATAAAGTTATACCTATAATGGGAACTAAAAAATAGCTGTCCAATTATTTGATGAAAATGAATGATTCAGATTATTTTGATTTTCTTATTTTTCTAATTTACCACCTATTATATCATTTACTTTTTCTAAATAACTCTGCACTCAATCAATTGAAACTTTAGTAACAGAATGTTTTTTTAACTATTTATTATTCTTAACTTACTCATTGATTTTTATAAAGATGGTCTTAGGTTCGAACCCCATCACAATTAAACTTGGCATAATTGTTTAACATATACTATAAATATGTTATAATGTATTTAGGGGAAATCGCACTTTTGGTCCCTCAATTAGTGCCCAAAATGCAATGTGATCCTCACTTCCAAATTTGGACAGAATTGGTCCCTCAATTATTCCCCCGTTAGTCAATTTAGTCCTTCTATGAATGGTGTTAAACGGATTAACTCACAGAAGGACTAAATTGACTAACGGTGGAATAATTGAGGGGCCAATTTTGTCCAAATTAGAAAGTGAGGATCACATTGCATATGGGGTACTAATTGGGGGACCAAAAGTGCGATTTCCCCTAAAATTTAACTATGAACTTTGAACAATTAATTAGGCAAACTATATACATAGTATTCAAAGTTGAACATCAAAGATTACAAATAAAAAATTTTGTAAATCATTTTTCTTGAATTTTTTAAAAACAAATCAATGTTAAGTTTTTTTTTTTCAATT